AGGATGTATCAAGTGAGGCATTTCCAGTAGAGAGAGAGAGAGAAGTATTAATGCCATTGGGCAAGGCACTAGTAAGACTTCATTTGGAATATTTTGTAGTTCTGATCACCCATATTTAAGAAAGATGCATTCAAACCGGAACAGGTGCAGGGAAGAGCTAATAGGATGATCATTGGACTGTAGGGCCTATCTTATGATAGAAGACTGGAGGAGCTTGGCTTGTTTAGCAAAAAGAAAGCTGAGAAGGAATAGGATTGCTCCTAATAAATACATCAGGGGGGTAAATACCGGGGGGCGGAGTGGAGAGCTATTTAATCTAAAGGACAACGTTAGCATGTGAACAAATGGGTATTAACTGGCCAGGAACAAAGTCAGGCTGGAAATTAAAAGGTTTCTAACCATCAAAGGAGTGAGGTTCTGGAACAGCCCCCCACTAGACTTCAAGCGGGCAAACAACTCAATTAGTTTCAAGCGAGTGCTGGACACGTTTATGAGTGCCATTGTAGGACAGGATTGCTTGTGACGGGTAGTGGGCAGGGCTCGTCTGTTTTATGTTCCTAAAGCTCATACTTCAGGGTTTCAGCTGGCCACCGGCAGGGGTAAGAAGCAGATTTTTTTCCTCCCCAGGGTATTCTGGGAGGTTGTGACAGAATGCATCCCTGTATTCATCCCCTACACACTGGTGTCAAAATCTGTGTGCACAATATGCCTTGTGAGGTATCACTTGAAAACTAATAACTTGCAGGTCAAGAATATCAAGGTGTAAAGTTATGATCATCAGCTGAAATTATGACAGAAGTGTGTTTACCAGACGTCTGGGGAGTGGGTAAACCTGTTTCTCAAAGACAAAAGAAGAGGGTTTTTTTAAAATCTCCTTCCTCTGAAGCATCAGGGAAGGCCATGGCTGGAGACGGGACATTGGCATGCTAAGGTACTCAGGAGTCTCTCTCTCAGCTGCTTGCTCCCATGCTCAGGGTCTAGCTAATCACTTTATGTGGGGTCAGGAAGGAATTTCCTCCCAGATCCGATTGGCAGTGACCTTGGAGGGTTTTCACCTTTCTCTGCTGCATGAGTGCAGATCACTTGCTAGGATTATCATGTATAGTTCATTTAATCATTTCCAAGCCTCAGGTATTGGTGCACTTTGTTCCCTCCTAGTCTTTGTCTGTGACACATAGTCTAGTCTCCTGTGAGCTGTAATCCTTTGGTCTCATTTTGGTTGTTGGCTTAGTGTGCGGGTGGCGTTGGTGGCCTGTGATACACAGCAGGTCAGACTGGATGATCTAGTGGTCCCTTCTGGCCTTAAGCACTAGGTCTCTACCACACTCGAGGAAGGTGAGTGAAAGTGGGAAGCCAGGGAGAAGGCATTTTATGTGCACTCCTGTCATAGTTTGGCAATGTACAGCACCTAGCACGGTGCAGTCTTGGTCCACGACCAAAACTCTTAGGCGCTACTGCCATGCAAACAATAATAAACAACAACAACAATAAATTCACTCTAGTAATTACTGAAGACTGCTAGAATGGTTTGATTGATTTTCATAGGGGAGAAGTAATGATCAATATTGCAATGTCACATCAAAACCAAACAGTCCCTTTAGAGATAATGTTGCTTTATTTGTTATGTAACTAATGTGCTGTATCCTGAAAGCAACAGCTCCATATAACTGATATTGTGGAATTCATTATTTATTGTCGTTTAATGACTGCAGATCAAAAGTGTTGTGTTAACAAATCAAACGGTGATTTTTCTAACTGCCAGGATTGCAAACTCTCTCGCTGGGATCTAGCTGTGTCTTTCTCTCTCTTACATCATCAAGTAACAAAGATTCTGCAACTGGAAATGAAATGGTATTTTGGTCAGGAACGTGCAAGGAAGAATAGACTCCAGCTTGCTCTCCCATAGCATTGGCTCCAGGGGTGCTGGAACAATTTGTATAGTGGGGGTGCTGAGAGCCATTGAACCAATCTGTGAACCCTGCATATAATGGAAATCACTTCCAGTCAGGGGGTGCTGCAGCACCCCTACTTCCAGCACCTATGACTGGCTCTGCAGAGCAAATAGGAATTGAAAACACAAAAGGATCAAAACTGTTAAGGAGGCATTTTGACAAGGTCACTTAATCTGATGATGACATTTAATGCCTTTGATGTCGGACACTGGAATCGTTAGGCACATCCCATTGCCTGGCAGAAGGATGCCTGCGACTGCCTGCACAAAGGTATAAAATGAGGCACAAGCCATGCCTTCATGACCCCTCAAATTTCCTGCTTATTGCCTAGGTAACGTCTGCATCTCCTGACTCACTGTTTGGCCTTGCTTTAGGATGGAGAGGGGAGAATGGAATTCTGCGTAATATACAAAACAGGCCCTTCTGAATTACAGCAGCAGAACTACTCTTCAAGCTTAACAAACACTATGTTCATTGGGACAGCATGAGGCCTGGTTCCAGCCTCACTGCTGCTTTCTACCTATAAACTACACTCCATAGATAGGAAAAGTGGCCTACTAGATAGCTGTAAACCAAGACCCTCTGAACTCTAATCCAGGTTCTGCCACTAATTTTGTGATTTTGGATAAGTCACTTAACTCTTCTGTGCCTCAGTTTCCCAATCCATACAATGGGGATATTAATACTCACCTACCACATATGTTTGTAAGTTATATCCAAGTGCTAAGTACTATTATTATTGTATTCTGGATACAAGCCTTGTACGGCTTGTTACTTAAAGAAGGTGCTAGTGGCCATCAGGTTTGCATAAAAAAATGATTCCTCTCTCTTCAGCAATTTACAGTATTATTACATGCTGGGCAAATCCTCTCTTCCAGCCTAGATTGAGTCTGGGCTTCTATGACAAACACATCATCTACAGCATTCCAGGAAGGATGCAGGCCATGATGGAAAGGGAATGGAAGGGAAAGCCCTGATCTCTCAATAGGGGCACCACCATTGATAAGACTTGGATAAACCATGGATGGTGTCCATCGTGCTACAACCTGGATAGTTGTAGTGAGATGGGTCCCGAACGTAAACCTGGTAGGTAGCTAACATGACCATGATGGTGTTATTCAGGGCAGTGAGGAAGCTAGTGCTCCTCAGGTTGTGTGTTAATTAACTAAGACTGTGGTAGCAGGACTCGATGCTGGGTTCTCCTCACCCACCCACCCTATGTTATCTTGTTGCCACTGATGGCGATGGCACCATAGACACCGACTCCATGGGTGCTCCGAGGCTGGAGCACCCACAGAAAAAAAGCACCCACAGCAGCCCCGCGGATCAGCTCCTCCCTATCCCTCCTGCCAGCAGGCCCTGCTGATCAGCTCCTCCCCCTCCCTCCTAGCGTCTCCAGCCTGCCATGATCAGCTGTTCAGCGGTGTTTAGGAGACGCTGGGGGTGGGGGAGGAGTAGGGGTGGGAAGAGGCAGGGCAGGGACGGACTGGGGACGGGAAGGGGTGGAGTGGGGGCAGGGCCTGGGGCAGAGCAGGGGTCAAGTAACCATAGGTGCCAACTCCGTGGGTGCTCCAGGGCTGGAGCACCCATGGGGAAAAATTGGTTGGTGCTCTGCACCCACTGGCAGCTCCCCGCCCCGCCCCAGCTCACCTCCACCTTCGCCTCTGCCCGCTTTTTCCCCCTAGCTCCCAGCGCTAGCGCCGCGAAACAGCTGTTTCATGCGGCAAGCGCTGGGAGGGATGGGGAGGAGGGGGAATGCAGCGGGGGCGGGGCGGGGATTTGGGGAAGGGGTTGGAATGGGGGCAGGGCAGGGGCGGGGAAAGGGTGGTGTCAGCTGGACATTAGGCTAAGAAAGGGGTTTATCAGCAGCACCTACATTTGGCTGTGACTAGACTGTGAAGAAATGACCCGACACTCCCTAAGCTAAAGAGTACGATTCATTTGAACACTGATTGTGGGATTTTGGCAGAACACATCCTAATGGAAATAGCTGAAGTAAAGGGAGGTGCTTTGGGGTGAATGTCAGAGCCTCCCTGCAGTCTAGGGAAAGAGAGATTGGCACTGCTCAGGAACGCACACTAAAAGCCACAACCCTGGAGGGTGTTGCATGCATCCATCCTGCCCCTTTCCCCACAAAGGAGCAAATCCTCCCCCCGACCCCAGTGGTTTAACTTCTGATGAGGTGAACAACGAGCTGAGATCAGAAGCCCCGTCCTGATGGGAGGAGATGAGGATTCACTTTTCGTCCCCTGAGGCAGAATTTTTTTGTGACATCATGATTTGATAGAGGGTTTCTCGGAAGTGCTGGTCCCGGCTCAGCCTCTTGGCTGCTTCCTTCAGCTCCTCTATGTTATCGGCTTCTGTCTGGGAGAAGATGAACGACTGGGACTGTTTCACTGAAACAACAGCAGCAGTGAAACAGGTGAGCACTCCCATGCCAGAGACCTCCCCAACGCTGCCCGAGACCCAGATTCAATGGAGAGCCAATGCAGAGCAGCCGAGCAGTGACATCTTTACAACCCTGGGCCCTGGCGGGGGAGGAGATAGTAACCTATGATGCCATTTGAGAGCACATGGAATAAGTCCATCTTGCTCTCTCTCCTCAGAGAGGGGCAAGAATGAAGGCAAGGCAGTGCCTGTTCCCCCCCAAAGGGCCCCCAAAAGGGGGCTTCCTATGGATCAACCACTCAAAGCAACTCAGCTGCAGGAGTGTGCTTCCCCAGCATGCACACAGAGAGCTGATGGCACCGAAGGGGTTCACCCACATGTTTCCAGGTATGTGAAAAGCCAGGGAATTCAGGTGGAGAATTGGTGCCTGAAGTTTCTCTGCCTGCAGTCCCGTGAGTGGGTGATGCCACAAGGGGGCAAGAAACACAAACACAACTTGTGGAACAAATTCCTCACCTCCACCAAACCTCTCCCCTCATCCCCACTCCCCAGAGCATAAGGGGAGAAGAGCCGCCAACACCTACGGTCATTCCATGAAGCGCTGGACCTCCTGCGGTGAAGCCGGCAGCTCTTTATCCGGCGGGTGGCAGCCTTGTGGAGGTACACGGAGTTCTTCATGATCACGGGCATCTTGGCTTCCAGCTCGGCATTCCGGATACACTCCTCAAAGAACTCTGGGGAGCAGAGATTCCAGGAAGCCATGTGGGGGAGGCACTTCAAACATTAACATTGGCCCCAGAGCGAGCCTGTCCCAATTGGGCATACTAGATACCAGATACACTGTCCTGCTCAGAACAGTCCTGCACTGCCCACGGAGATGGACCAGGTACTCATACCTTGCATTTCTATAGCACGATTCAGGGGAGGATCTGATCCTGGCGCACTTTCACAGACATTCATTCACAAAGCCCCACAACATCGCCAGGGGACGGTGCTTAAAGTGGTTTGAAAGTAAGCAGGGCATCGATCATAACCTAGGAGCAGCAGCTTTGGTAAGACACTGCTTAGAGTGTGTCCGGCAGTGACCCCGTGCAATTAAAGCAAACTTTTTCCAGGTCTGCACCCACTGGCAATCCCCCCTCCTTTCACTCTAAGTACTGTCATGGGGTAGCAACTTCAAGACACTATTGATCTGGGCTGGATTCAGACTGGTGAAATGAAGGCACAAGAGCCCATTACCAGTCCCACAGAAGCCATCCACTCCCCCCTCAGTTATTCCTACAGCTGCAGCAAGAATATCTCAGCCTAGGTCACTAGCTAGGAGCCAGCTAGCTCTTTCCTTGGTATTTAGCAGGAGAAAGTCTCTCTTCATGGGTCTCCAGAAATGCAACTCTTGGAAGCACTACTGGTTGCACTTTGGTTCAGAGAGCCTGAAATCAGCAAAGTAATCAAGCCAGATGGAAGCTGTGGCCACTGGTAAGCACAGCCATATTTCACGGCTTAGTGGAAGCAGAGAGCGGGACTGTGCCCATGGCCACTGCACTCCTTGTTTCTCAAATGCTTCACCTTCCCCAAGGTGGAGAAGGGGAAGTTCTATATATCTCCAAAGAAAGAGAATTTGCACGTGTTTTATTCTCTCTCCAGGTGACCTTTGGAAATGGAGGGACTAACAACACGGGCACATGCTGGGCAAACATTGCCGAGCAGCTCTGCTGATGCTTTTCTTTCCTGACCTGCAGCACCTCCTGCTATTCCAGCTTCAGTCCCCCTTCTCCACACAGCTCTGCCAATGCACCCGCGTTCTGACCTGCTACATACCCTTCTATTCCAGCCTTAGGCCCAGCTCCCTTCATGATATGCCAGCGCACCTCCTCTGCCCTAGCCAGCTACATCTTGGGCCATTCCAGGCTGGCTCTCCTCCCCCATCCGCACAAACACGCCTTAAGTCTCCTCTGCAACTCCCCTGCTAGTCACAGGCCCCCAGACATCTTTGCTAACACATCTTGATCCTGACCTGAAAGAGCAGGGGTGAGATGGGGTTTGCAGGCCAGGCTTGAGGTGTGTGGTATTTAGGGTTACCATACGTCCGGATTTTCCCGGACATGTCCGGCTTTTTGATCCTCAAATCCCCGTCCAGGGGAAATTGCCAAAAAGCCGAATACGTCTGGGAAAATACTCCCAGCTTTGTTTTGCCGACATCCCTGCCCCAGTCCCCTGCTTACCTTAGAGCGGCTCCGGCAGGCTGCAAGCTGCAGGCGGATTCCCCTGCGGCGGCGGCTGCTGCTGCTCCCCCCTAGACACCTCAGCTTTGTGTAGCTGAAGAGCTGAGCTGCCCGAGCACTACCGGCTTCACAGTTTGCCGGGCTGCCCCCAGACCTCCAGACCCTGCACCCCTGGCCGGGCGCTTCCCCAGCGCAACCGGAGCCCGGAAGGGGAAGTGCCCGGCCGGGGGCGCAGGGTCTGGAGGTCTGGGGGCTGCCCGGCAAACTGTGAAGCCGGTAGCGCTCGGGCAGCTGTTTCGCGTGGCTGGGAGGGAGGAGAGGGAATGCGGGGCGCTCAGAGGAGGAGGCGGAGTTGGGGTGGGGAAGGGGCGGAGTTGGGGCGGGGAAGGGGTGGGGCCAGGGTCCCATGGAGTGTCCTCTTTTTTTAACATTTAAATGTGGTAACCCTAGTGGTATTGGCCCCTAACCTTTATAAGCACTTAATTCACCCACACTCTTTTATTCTTTTAAGAGGAGACACAGTAAAACCTAGGGCAGAAAATTAAAGCTGGGAGGGTTCTAGTCCCTGTGCAAAAAGTTACCTGCCTTTTCTGTGCAAGAGCTAAGGTTTCTGTTCAGATAACTCAACACAAAGTAAAATTCTGTGCCAACAATGTAGATTTTGGACCTGATTTTCCATTCTCTAAGGTCTGGTCTACACTACAAAGTTAAGTTGACGCAAGGCAGCTTATGCTGACCTAGTTGTTCACGCGTCTACACTCAAATTGGCCACCCACCGCTGTAAGCGCTGACACTGTAACACCACCTACTTGAGCTATGTAGAGCCACGGGCAATGTACTTAGGTTGACGGAGTGTAAGTGGAAACACTGTGTTACCTATGTTGACCTTAACTGTCCTCCAGTAGCTGTCCCACAATGCCCCACACTGACCGCTCTGGTCACCTTTGTGAACTCCACTGCCCCAGGATCATGGAAGCAGAAGCCTCTTCCCCCCCAAACACACACTTTTAAAGCCCTGTGAATTTTTGAAATTCCTTTTCCAGCTTGGTGAGCACCCCTAGCAGTTCTCCATTGTTGTGTGCGACTGCCCAGCTGACCATGCTGCCTACACACTCCAGACATGCTCCTGCCTGGAGTAGACAGGAGATGTTGGCTGTCCTGGGCCTGAGGGGAGATGCTATGCAGGCACAGCTCCCAACCAGCCATAGAAGTATGGCCATCTATGAGCAGATTGCTCAGGGGATGCAGGAGAACCGGTACTACAGGGACCAGCAGCAGTGCTGTGTGACAGCCAAGGAGCTGCAGAAGGCATATTGGGAGGCCAACAAATAATCGGGTGCCAAGCAACAGATCTGCTGCTTTTACAAAGAACTATATGCAATCCTCAGCAGAGACCCTCCTCCCCACCGCACCCCCAGCACCGTGGATACGTCTGCGGAGCCCAAGTCACAGGCTCCTGCCATGAAAATCGAGGAAGGAGGAGAACGACTATGGGGGACAGGTGACCGGGGGATCCAGCTGCACAGTGAACCAGGACCTGATTTTGACTCCACCGCAGTCTGCTGGAGCAATGTAGTGGAGAACCAGACCCTTTGCTTTGTAACTACTTTGGAATCTACTGATTCACGTCAAATGGATTGAATGCTAATCACTTGTATTTCTACGATGCATCTCACCCTCAGGATCCCAAAGATCTTTACACACTCTATACACAGGCCCACATCACCCATCCTGCACTGAAATGAAGCCTGGCAGTTCTTTAACAGCTCCCAGCAACATTATTCAACATTTTAGGACAGGAAGTGAAGAATACTGCAAGGGAATTAAGGAAGGGATAATTACTCAAAGCTGAATCATCCAGGGCCCTAGAGTCAACCCCTTATCTCTTGTTGAAAGCATCTTTGGAACTTCAGTGACACACGGTCAGGAACTTGGCTTTCGTCTCATCTCAAAGACTGCACCTCCATCAGCACAACACCCTGTAATGCTAGGCTGAGGCACCGATTCAATACTGTGTCACAGTACAAGGTTAACCTACTGAATCACCCAGCACCGAGCTGAATGCTCCTTAGGCTGCTGCCATCCAAATACAGAAGGATCAGAGTAAGGACTATATGGTGGTGGAATCACAGGACTGAGATGCAGAGCTCCATTCAGTTCTGTTCCCTGCTGTGCCACAGCTTTCCTATATGACCTAGGACAAGTCACTTAACCTCTCTATGCCTCAGTTTTTTCATCCGTAAAACAAGGGAGAATAACACTGACCTTCGCAGGAGTGAGACACTTAACTCACTAATGTTTGCAAAGTGCTTTTGGAATCTGCAGAGGGAAGCTGCAAAGTGTTTTGAGAACTCACTAAACACCACTTTGCTTGGCTTGTGGAGATGGACCCTTCTGTGGAATGTATTCACCAGCAGAGAGGGGAATGGAGAATAGATGACTTACTTTTCAAATTGCTGACATCTGTTTTCATTTTCTCCTCCTTCTCTTTGTTGCGATCCAGAGAATTTAAGCCTTGCTCCAAGCTATGTAGGGCTTCCTCAGCCTCCCTCAGTCTCTTCTCTAGATCCATACGCACCTTCATCTCAGCCTGAGGAGGACGGAAGGAAATCGATCACTCTGGAAAACCATTCAACACAACAGAGATACTGCTGCTGAGTTGCAAGGAATCCAAAGCTGAGGGTGGCATTGAATATGAAGGGATAAATACAGGGTGAGCCAGTGTAGATAGAAACCATGCAAGCTGTTCATCAGTTTCTCAAACTGAACCCCTCCTTGAGGCTCAGCAGTGTTTGGGTAACTGTCTATTACTCCAACTTTCTGATTTCACAGCTGACCCCACCATTCTAGGTTCTGTTTGGAATCAGAGGTGTTGAAATACCATAAGAAAAGCTGTTTGTGCAGGTATTGCTAGATGAAAAAGAACAGGAAATATATGGAATCTCATGGAGGGGGGAAAAAACTGTCCTTGTGACATTTCTAGCTAAATGTTACTGACTCAAGATGAGGGTAAGAAACATTGAGGCTTTTGGGTGTTTATCCAAACTGAACCGCCAGCTCTTCTGCACTCACCCATCATGATAAGATAGGTGGAAATCCATTTTCCTTTGCCCTTTGGCTAAAACCAGATACTCTATCAGGGGACAGTATCCCCCTTTTTCAAGAGAAAGAGTCTGGTGGTCTAATAGACCAGTGATTCCCAAACTGTGATGTTTGGTCCATTTATTGCAATGAGATTGACATGGGACAGCCAAGATCACTCATAGGATTCCCTTGGTGCAGACTGCAGCCCAATCATGTCAGCAGTCGGGAACATATGAGCCCCACTCTCCAGAGACTGTGCTGATCCTGTTCAGCTCTGGTGTTGATCTATAAATACCTACAAGATTCGGGTCCTGGCTAGTTGAGAGACTGTCTCTCTATGCAGCACTATAACAGCTGAGATCATCAGGAGAGTCCAGGAGTCCCTGGATATGAGCATCTGGTTGCAGAGGCAGGACAATCTCTCAGAGGATAGCCCTGCTTAGTGGAATTCACCTGCTTGTCCCATCAGAGCTAAACCTGTTGACCTACAGGGTATGGTATAAGACTCTAATCTATCCACTCATGCTTTTTGCCTCTGGAGTGGAAGGGCTGACCATGGGGAACCATTCTTCAGAGATTGAGTTCATTTAGGTTGACATTGTCAATAAGTATCTCTCTGACCAAGTGCAGGCCCCGAACCTCTCCCCACGCTCATCTTAGGCCTCAAAAGAAAAGCTACAACACTCTGAGATCCCTGAAGAAGTCTGCAGTGGAGCGGGGAGAAGAAGGAGATAATCTGTTGGGCCCAAAGCAGGGGCAGATCCAGTGAGCAATGTATGCAGTACCTTGAGGTCTCTCTCTGTCTGCTGTTTCTCTGCAGTCAGTTCTGAGAGCGAGTTCTGCAGCACCTGTGACTGAGATGAGTAAAACTCCCGCTCCTCCTCCAAGGCTCGGGACCGCTCCTCCTTCTCCTTCATCCTGCCACACAGCACGACAAAGGAGCATTAGAAAAGACCTCTAATCTGGGTCATTGCAACTCCCAGAAAGGAAGGGAAAGAAGACCTTGGTTGAAAGCTGCTCTGATGGGTCAGACAGAGCAGGGCTGGTTTTGCAAACCCAGTTGGCCTCAGTTTTAGGTGTACATATTCACTGGGGCAATTCCCTTAGCACTTTATCTCCATTTTTGAAACAGGTAAATGTAGTGACCCAGATTGACAGCTCTGGAGGGTGAAGTTCTCTATGAACAGAACAGGTCCACCAGTAGCACATGCTTCTGGCCTATTGTTGGGCTAATGTGCCGCAATCCTGATCTGAAAGGAGCAGCTCTAGAGTCAAAGAGGAGTTCATTCTCATTCTCCATGGCCCATTCATCCCTTGGCCTCTCTGCTCAGACTGTCAAGTGTCTGTAATATGAACACTTGACCACAGGGAATTAGAAAGGCCAACCAGCTCATTTCACACTGGCAACCAAGCAGCACAGCCACCGATGGCCACCTACCAGGATGAATTTGAACCTGCCTGGCAATCTGAATTGCCTGACTAGCACTTTCCCCCTCCTCAGCTGGCATCCATGAGGGGAAACGACAAAAGGTCTAAAAACTCTGCAGAAGGCTGTTGGCCACCAGGAAATAGCCAATGTTAATGAAAATAGAGAAAATGCTTTAAAATGATCACAGTTCTAAGTCTGGAATTGTATTCCAGTGTCTCCTATTACCACGACTTTCCCTCTGCAGGAGTAATGGTAGCTCCTTTCCCAACACCACATTCCCTCTGCCAGGAGTAACACTACGTCCTTCCTCTTCTGGGACTCTGTAAGCTACTTTCCCCACCTCACCTTCTCTCTGCCAAGACTTTCTCCTCCAGCAGCTGGTGCATCTTCTCCTCAATCTGGCGCAGGTTGCTGTGCAGACCCCCGGTGGGGTTCGGCTGCTTGCTAGCATTGGCCAGGGGCTGAAGTTGGCTCTCATTCTCCTCCAGCATCTCCAGGGTTCTCTGCTTTTCCCGGGAGAGCTCCTTGGGACAGAGAGGAACAGAGCATGTCATTACTAGCCAAGCCACCACCGTTCTGACACTGATGTTCCCGTGGCAAGGCACCTTCACAGATGACTCCTCTCCAATGGCTCCCTATTCCCCCTCCTTTCCCCACCCACTTAACCCTTGGATTCCCCTTCTCCCCTGCAACCCTGGGAGCAATCCCCTCCTTAATGGTCTCTCTTTATGCAGGCAGACGGGCCATCACCTGGGGCTTCTCTAAAGGAATCTGCCAATGCTGGCTCATGATTATTCAGCGAGTGTGCTCCAAGAAAGGGGAACTTTGCTTCCTCCACTCAACACTGATACTGTACAACCTCACTGCCCTTCCTCCTCTTCCCTTCAGACCTCTCTCCACCCTTGATTCCCAAGAGTGCCAGAGGACTCTCCCCTTGCATGCTGATGAACCCTGTGGTGCTATCAGCTACAGGGGGAGGGCACATGACACTGTTTACCTCTGTACTGCTCAACCTATTGACTGTAGTCAGGACAGAACCATCCCTTCCTTAATACGGTCATTCCCAAACTTTGTCTTACCAGTATCTGCAACAATGGCGGAGCAGACCAGGTCAGGCAATGTGAGTGACCTGAACCATGAACTCCTGGTTTTTGCTCAGTGCTCAAAGTGAAACCCAAACCACCCAGCAAAAAAACTCAAGAGGAAGAGCAAATGAGAGAGGATCTGTATTATGGGAAAGTCCTATAGAATCAAAAAGGGATTAAACCAACAGGGTTCCATGGCCATTTCTCTAAGAGCTCGCAAAATGTAATACAGAATGAGATCCTTTCCATAGGACTTTTGGACCATCCTGCAGAGTTCAATGGAAAATTATAGGCCATATTCTGGGTTCTACTGCCTAGCTGAGAATTCCAGTGTGTGGGGAGGGATCTCTCAGAGGGCCATAAAGCTAGAGGAGCCACCCTGACATAGGGGTTATAATAGGGGAGGGAAGAGGTGTGATGGAGCTCCACTCTGTGCCACATTCTCAGCTGGTATATGATTACTCAGGGACCACACGCAGCTTTGTAAATTAGAGCTGCCACCTGGTTGCTCTAATTTAGACCAGGGCTAGGGCCAGGGAAGCTGCAGATTGAGAATCAGGGAGCTATAGCTGGGTTCCTGACAGCTCCAGCCCTGTCCTGAAGAGATCTCAACACAGGAGATGATCTTGACCTATGTCCCTGCTAAAGAGTTCTATAGGATGGATCAATCGACCTGCAGAAGGATCTGATTCTCTGTCAAACACTATAGGCTTTTAGAGTAATTGCTACAGGACACTATTAGTTTAATCCCTGTTTAGTTCCATAGCACTTTCCCCAAAAGGCTGTCACCAGGAGGAGAAAAATCTGTCACTGACCTCCAGTGTTTTCTGTAAGGACTCTGTCAGGCTTCGCAGTTCCTTCTTCTCCTCCTCTACTCCTTTGAGGGACTGAGCTGTCACTTCCAGCTCCCTAAAAGGTACAATGGTTGTGCACTTTGTGGGGGAATAATAGTCCCAAACACTGCACTCACACTACCATAGGCTATAGAGTTGGCCGTTACCATAGGACGCTCTAGTACTGATTTGGAAGGGGTGCTATCAGGAAGCAGAAATGCCAGGCACAAGCTAACTTAAGGTGGAGTGGGGGGACACAACCATAGCTCCTCTCCTTTACTAAAAACAGAGGAAGCATTCCTCCTCCTCTCCCGGGCTTGGGTAGGCAATGCTTCCCCAGCTCCCATCCCTCCTTGTCTTTCAATCGACTTTAACCACTGCATATGGGCATACGTGCATTATAAATTCTAGGCACTTAGGGTCCAAATCCATCCACAGTGTCACTCCACTGACTTCAGTGCAGTTGTGGCATGGTGACTTCCAGTGCCAATAATGTACATATGCTCCCATGTGCCATGACCGGCCATAGGCTCTTATACCTGAGAGACATAGGAAATGCCCTAGTCTGGAATATGCGCCCGTGTGTGCTTTTCACCATAGTAGAGTTTATGGGAGTGATCACCCTTCCATCCTATTTACTACACTGCTCTAAAAAGGCCGTTGGGTCCTGAATGCAAAGTGAAACTGAGATCGCTTCTCTCCATCTGTGGAAGTGCCAGCTGTCTCGTTGCCCACCTGGTTTCCTTCCTGTCTGGGATTCATTACCGTTTAATCTGCTGTTGCTCCAGCCGCAGCTCCTGTACCACCTCTTCAAACTGCTGCTTCTCTGCCTCTAGCACCTGGTTAAGACGCTCCAGCTCCTGAGAGGTAACATGGGGAGATAAGTGCACTCGGCTGCAGCACTCAGAGGGTTAAATGGTTACCCCTGCAGTAACTCAATTCATTTTATGTTATAGTCACACTACCCTTTTCTAACTGGGCCTTCCCCACCATCCCACATGGGCACTAGTGTTGCCTCCAAATCCAAAACAGTAAAGACATGAAATGCATAATTATTAATCACAGAACCATAGGAACGTTAGGAAGGGACCTCAAGAGGTTATCTACTCCCACACTGAGGCTGGACCCTGTAAACCTAGATGATCCCTGATAGGTGTTTGCCTAACCTGTTGCTAAAAACCTCCAGTGACAGGGATTCCACAACATCCCTTGGTAACCTACTCCAGAGCTTAACTCTCCTTGTAATTAGGTAGCGTTCCCTAACATCTAACCTAAATCTCCCTTACTCCACATTAAGCCAATTACTTCTTGTCCTACCTTTAGTGGACATGAAGAACAACTGATCACCATTCTCTCTAAATAACAGCCCTTAACATATTTTAAGATTGTTATCAGGTCCCTCCTCAGTCGTCTCTTCTCAAGACTAAACATGTCCAGTGTTCTTAACTTTTTCTCCGAGGTCAGATTTTCTAAACCTTTATCATTGTTGTTGCTCTCCTCTGGGCTCTTTCCAATTTGCTCACATCTTTCTTAAAGTGTTGAGCCCCAAACTGTACAATACACCACCCGAAGCCTCACCAGTGCTGAGTAGATTGGGATGATTACCCCCGTGTTTTACATATGGCACTCCCGTTAATACACCTCAGAGTGATATTAGCCTTTTTCAGAACTGCAACACATTGTTGGTTCATATTCTGTTTGTGATCCACTATAACTCCTTGATCCTTTTCAGCAGTTCTACCACCTAGCCAGTTATTCCCCATTTTGTAGTTGTGCGTTTGATTTTTTTCCCCTAAGTGTAATACTTTGCATTTATTTTTATTGAATTTCATCTTGTTGAATCCAGACCAATTCTCTGATTTGTCAAGGTCATTTTGAATTCTAATCCTGTCCTCTAAAGTGCTTGCAACTCCTCCTGGCCTGGTATCATCTGCAAATTTTACAAGAATACTCTCCACTCCATTACCCAAGTCATTAATGAAAATATTGACTAGTACTGTACTTAGGACTGACTCCTGCAGGACCTCACTTGACATATCCTCCCAGTTTGACAGCAAATCATTGATAACTATTTTCTAAATACAGTTTTTCAACCAGTTGTGCACTCTCTTTA